GATACTTAGTGGAATTGTTTTAATCAAAGTTTTAAAAAAAAATCATAAGGAAAAATTTGACAGTTTTTAACACTTTTGTTACATACAAAATCTGTTGCCAAATATTGTTTATAATATTTTGAACTATACAAAATATTGTTTATAATTTTTTAACAAAATTTGGAAAGCTGTAAAATGTCACAAATGCCCTTAAAAGTTGCAATTTTTAATATTGAAATATTTATAAAATGGTCACTATTTAGATTTAGAAATATACTTAATAACACACATAGCATTGTAGTTCTTTCAAAAGTTAATTCTAACATATATTTAAATGCTTTTTAAATCATTTTGCTAGGTTAAACATGACATGCAAGTAAAAAGCATTTTAAGTACCTTGAAAATGTTTACTGTATTAAAAAATAGTAGATAACTGCTAGTTAAAAAAATGTCAAAAGAACTGCATTAAAAAAAATAGTTATAAACAATTTTAAAAGAGAGAATATAACCTGATCTGATAGCTCAGTTCCATGTTTCTCAAATTTTAAATTACAGGAAAATTTTGGAAATATTATTGCAAGGGCAAAATTTACCAAGAAAAAAGATTGAGCAAGTTTCTATTAAATGTGCTAAAATATACAGGAGGGCACTGAAAATCTTTTAGCCCAACCAAGAAGAATTAAAAAAAAGTTTAGTTACTTGGTCAGATTTTGGGAAGTGAGTTGGGCTGAGAACTAGTCTCCACCTACACCCCATTCTACTGGCCACAAGGAGAAAGACAACATGGAGTTGAAATTGCAATATGCAAATCACCAGATAGAGAATATTTAAGACTGATGGCTGCTGATATTGTTCATGGCTGTAAGATCTGAGTGATATCAGCTTATACCCCAACTGAAAAAAAGTGTTGTTTCAGAAAAAGAAATTCTACATGGGATTAAATAAACTTTGTATATTAGAAAAAAATGCTGGAAACTCTGCATTAATGGGGATTTTAATGCTATCTATTTTTAAATGTCACTACTCCTTTGATGGTAAGAAGACTTCACCCGTTGAAGTGGAAGCTTCAAACATCAATGGAGAACTCCTAAACTTTTGTTACTCAAAAAGATATTCCACACTTAATACATGATTTGACCATCCCATAAAACACTATCACATGGCATAGCCCAAATAGTGTAACAAAAAAGATTGACTTCAGCATATCAGACTATTGGATTAGGCAGTTTATCACAGATGTTAGAATATGCAATTGATCACAGATTACTTGTAATTAAACTTACAATACCAACCAACATAATAAATCTTGATCAAAACATTATAGAGGAATCAAATAATGCTATCTTCATTACCTGAAGCACATTAGACCATTCCAAGAAATCCTAGAAGGAAAAAGTGGATGACAATCCTGTGATAAAAAAAAAATGATACAAGAAAAAATGGAAGGGAAAATATTAAACAACAAAGAAATTAAAAAAAAAAAAAATGAGGAACCAATATGTTGGGAAAGATGGAAACTAAATTAATGAAACCAAGTAGCATAGACAATGTGTTAAAATGTGGAGAAAAGCCACAATAATATCATGCAATCACTATTAAAGAAATATCCTGCTCTCAAGACATTAGGAATCACATTTCAACCCTGACCTGTCTAAACTAGAAGTGCTCATAGAAATAAAACATATACCAATATACATTCAATTATTACATAAACAATAATAAACCTACTGAAGAGTAAATTAAGAAAGCTATTAAAAAAAAACTAAGGAATAATAAGGCATCACTTGACATTGAGGCTAAACTTTTGAAAATAGCTTACTTTTTATTTGTATTCAATAACAAGTTTCTCTATTTTGTGAAAGAAATCTGAAATGCATTCCCAAAAAATGGGGTTTAATTAATGTATTATAGAAACAAAATGGTAGCTTTTAAGACCCTTACATATACAGATGTATCTCAATTGTATCCATCATAGTGAAAGTATTAATGAACATTATATTAACTATGCTATCATTGTTTTATGAAAGTCAACTCTTCACAACCCAGTTTGATTTTCTTTCTAGTAAGGGATGTAATGGCAGGTATGTCATCAAAAAACTCCAGAAAACTGTATATCTCTCTAATAGGAAATTGTGTACCTACTATATCAACCTTACAGCAGCATATGGCCACATCAATAGAGACTTCCTCCTCTCATCCATTAGAAACTGCCTTCCAAGCTTCAAATCTACTGAATACATCGATATGATAGAGGAACTATCAGCTTAGAAAATCTTACATGTCTGGCAAGGACCCTAATATGGAAATATTTCAAACCTTATCAGGAGGAGAAAATGAAAGCCCCAGTTTATTTGATATTTTTCTAGATGATGCTTTGCACATTACAAACAAGAAGAGATGGGCACTGATCATTTAAGCATTTCATACCACATCCCAAACAAATCTATCAATAAAAGACATTGATTGTTTTCCTTCCTCAGGCCAATATTGATGATGAGTGAGGGTTATGCTGATGACATAGGTATTCATAGTAGGTATAAGAATGATCTTGAACAGAAAATCAACATCCTCTATCATGTGTTCTAAGAAATAGGACTCCAGATAAATCTTTCCAAAGCAGAAACTATAATCTGGAATTGGAATGAAAGCAGTGATGACATGTAAAAATTCAGTATATGGTAAACACTTCAAATACTTTGGTGTATGAATCATTATAACAAATTTGGTATTAGTATAGTAGATAAGGAAATTAAGCATAGAATAAGCTGTGCCAGAAATAGTTTTGCCCAACAATGTAAATTACAAAACCAGAATATTAACTTGAAAACTTATGTTATGTTTTTAAATAGCCTTGTCAGATCAAGATATATGGATGTCATTCATGGTATCAAACGCATTCAGAAATATCTAAACTGTCAGCTGTATGCAACCACTTTCTCAGTTCAATGGTTAAAAATGGCTTTGAGCAAATGAAGCCTGTGGGTCTTGATGAACCTTGTGATTTGTATCTGTCTATATTTCTGAGATGAGGTATTGTAATTATTTACATTGTTTGGACTGTTGTCCTCCTCTTTATTGCAATATTCATGATGTTTTGGCTGTTGTATGCTCTGGCATTCTTTAAGTGATTGAAATTTCGAACTGAACCCTTTATTTCATCCACTTGGGTAGATTATTCTAGTTTCATATGTCACTCCTCTTCTGGATGTCTCAGTATTAGTTATCTCCTTTTAATTCAACTTTCCAAGTTTTTGTTCACCAATGCAGTAGCCAGGTATTGAACTTCCAACTCTTTCAGTCAAGTCACTGGATCCAACCACTGCTTTTATCCACTGGGCCATGTTGACATCAGTGTCTCATTCATTTTTTATTAGTGCTTATATTGCAATTTTTGTTGTTATTGATTTTCTCAAGCATTCCCTTTTACTGGTTCCCATATGTATTCATTTCTATGCTTGGCCAGCTTAGGAGATTTTTCTGGCCTTGCTACAGAATCACAAACAAAAATCTGTACCAAATAATAGAAACCATATGACTAGATGACAGCAGCAACAACTAAAATGAACATCACATGTAACACGAAGAGAAAATAATAACATGTTAATCTTCTATACTATTTCAAATAAAAGGTTACAAAGGATACTCCCATTAATATTGAATAGAGTGATAGCAACTACTGGACTTGAAAAGCCTATTTTCCTGAAAATTTGTTTTCAGAGAGATTTCATAAATTTCAGTTGAAAGCAGCAGTATTGGCTGCTTGGTCAATGAATGCCCATTTTTCCTTATAAGGAAATGGCTAATATTAACATTAAACTCAAGTGATAAACACTTGAGTGATAGGGATTGGGATGAGAAAGATGAACTGTTTAAGTGCACATTACAAAATATCCCTTTGAGAGGAGAGAAGAAAACAATTCATGTTTTGAAATTATGAAAAAGTAGCTAAAGAAAATTGTACATATGCTGCTATTAAGTGCTGGTAAATTGAAAAAAAAATTATGTATAACCATAGATTAAAACATGGTTTTATACCTGGCCTTGATATTATTGGAAAATAAGTGAAAGTTTGAAATATTCTAGGTATGTTACCAACAATATGTAATTAGTATTTGTTTTTTCAATGCAAAAGAAAAAAATCATGCCTGAAAGAAACTTTAGATGGAAATGAGAATGTATATAACAAATCTGTCCTTCACCCACCAAAAATAAATTAGCCATTAAAACATAATTTGTTTATTTTCTGAAAGTATAAGATGAAGTATTTTAATTATTCAAAATATCACACACACACACACACACACACACACACACAGAGGGTGTACCAAAATTACTTATACAAACTTTGGGGATGGGTTCCTGACACCAAAACAAGGTTATATGTCCAAAAGGCCATCATTGTACCTCGACAAACCAACTCATAACAAATGTTTAAAATATCCTCCACTTGTTTCGAGACACACATGCACCCATCAGTGTCAAAAGTTTTCACAGGCCCCCATGACATGTTGATAAAGCGTCTCTGCATTATTAATGTCTGTTGCATAAATCAATTATTTTAGGTGGGCTCCACAAATAAAAATCCAAAGGATTGAGATCGGGGAATGTGCGACCCATGGAACTGGTCCTCCCATACCTATCCATTTTCATGGTAGATGTCAGCCAGTGCGTTGTGAACAGTGTGACTAAAATGTGCTGGAGCCCCATCATGCATAAGCCATATGCATCTTTGTTTTAGCAGGGGTACATCCTCTAGCAGGTCTGAGAGTGTGTTTGAAATGAAGTCCTTGTAATCATCTCTTGTAAGATGTTCTGGGAGAATATATGGATCTACCAGTCACCTACAATTCCAGCCCACAAATTAATAATGGTTTGCATTTTCTTGTTTGATAATCAAATTCATAATTATCAATATGTATGTTCTTCAGAGTGACTTTCAGCTTTCATGTTTTAAAAGTATTGTTTTCATTGATTTTTAAAACTTTTTCATGTCTTATTCTTATGTATCTATTTCGATATAGGTATAAAGTGCCCAGTCTGTTCAAAATCTGTTGCTGCAGATGAACTGGAATGTCACCTTGTGATATGTCTAACAAAGCCTAGAATTAGCTATAATGGTAAGTCTAATGATTTCTAATATTAAAATGAATACTATTTATGTATATTTATGATGGTTCTTTAAAAAGACAAATAGCTTCACTATTTTTTTCTTTTTCGATAAATCAAGATTTTTAAAGAAAATTGGTATGGTATACACAATCTTTATCCTATATAATTTATAATGTCTGTAAAATTTAAAAATCTGTTAGTACATTTTTTGTCTGTTAGTATAAACTATTTAAGTGATAAGTTTGGTTGTCTTTTTATAACTTTTCATTTGTTTATTGCTCTGTTTTTAATTCAATTTACATTTGCAAATTCCAAATAGTTTTTATTTGTTTTTACTAAATCTGATGAGAGTAACAAATATGGTATTAAAAGATACAAAGTAAATGAGGCTTTCAGGCTGTCTTTCTTAATTTATAAAATTATAAGATTTAGAAATATTTTAGCAATTTTAAAACTATTTTTCTAAAAAGTGGAGCATTCTCTTAGTATATTTGATATTACAAATAAAGGCAAATGTTTTAAAATCATGGCAATAATTCTATTTTATTCCATTCATTTTTTTTATTTGGTTGTCAGATAAATTTTTTTTTTTTTTTTTTTCATTTATCTTCATCCTATTTTTTAACAATTTTAACTAATCAGTCACTAATATAAAACAAGAAACAACTTGTAGAGGAAGAACAGAGATACAAAAAAAGAAACAAAAAAATATTTTGCATGTTAATTCAAATAATATATTGGAAAAAAATGAATGAAATATAATTTGAACAGTAAGAATGGGATTTCTTTTAATATCTTCATTGAAATATTGAGACTTGGTGATTGCAGTGATAAAATATTATAGCAAAGAAAACTGCAACTTACCTCGTCAAACCAAGCGACAGCGTGTCGCGTGTATCTTACGACGGAAAATGTGGCGAAAAATAAAATTACTTACCAAAAAAAAGGCATGTGTATTCCACATGACATGCTGAAGACGAAATATTTAAATTAAAAAACAAGTCCATCGCAGGAGTCGCCATACAAGTATTTTGATATGCAAAAATTGGGCATCCTCTCCCAGCTGTTGACAAATGGAAAAAATGCTCGGCCAATAAAAGCAGTTGGTGTTCTCGAATCGGGGAGTTGATGTATTTTGGCTACCGCATTTGTTGGAGAGTGAATTATATTTCTGACTAGTTACATGCATTGTGATTTGTGAGATAGTACCTGTGAATCGAGTTTTCAGCATTTCTTTCTGTCCCCGATATTCGAGTCTGAACTTACAGTGATTTGTTCTTTGTGTTGTGGAAGTAATCTGCGACAAATATTTCCTTTGCTTTCAGAACACTTAGCTATTTCGGCACTGTGACGGACAAGACATTTGATGTCAAGTTGATACCCGAGTTTGATGGTTCATTGACCGGACAAGCAGTTACTGAATGGATTGTGAAGGCAGAACTTGTTTGTGACCTGTGTGGGATTAAAAAGGTTGAACAGGCGGGGCATTTGCTGTTTACCAACAGTTAAACTCAGAGCAAAAATCAGATGTTGAGCAGATAAAACGAGCCCTGCGGATTGCCTTTGCACTTGATCGTTTCTTGGCTTATGAGCAGTTCATGGAATGCCAACTGCGCCCGGACGAATCCGTCAGCGTGTTTCTAGCCGACTTGAAGAAGCTAGCAGGTCTTTTTGGCAGGATATACGAGCAAGGACAAGCATGTGCGTTCATAGCAGGGTTACCAGCGCACGTCAAGTAACTACTGTTCGTGTCTTCCAGGATGGAAGACATGAATACAAACCAACTATTGGACTGAGCTCAGGCCATAATGAAAGATCAAGATGCAACTGAGGAAATGGTTGTGGCTACCATTTCACCAGGCGGAACTGATAAACATCCAAATGTTAAATGTTGGGAGGGTATGTGATGTTATCAATGCTCTGGGTGGAATCACCTTTCCAGCAACTGCCCGGTTCGATGAGAAGATGCCTGCTAGCCACACAGGTCATGTGCAACAGTGTGTTGCTTCTGGTGTCAAGAAGTAGGCCACATTGCTTCATCGTGTCTGGGAAAAGAGGAAGGGCACAAGATGTCAGTGCCGGTCTCTTCCCTAAGCGAGTTATGAATGAGGTGCTATCTGTCTTGGGTATTTACGTGAATGGAATTAAGAGAGTGGCACTGGTGGACACTGGCTGCTCACAGACACTCTTGAGTAAGTCAGTCTGTCAATCCTGGTGGGAGACAGAGGTGGAAATACTCTCAAATGTTGCAGAGTTGGAAGTATCAAGCTTGACGTGGACAATGCAAACCCCCTCAAAATCAAAGTCTAGGTAGTGGATGGAGAGCTATTGGGTTTTGACTTGTTGCTTGGGTTCAACGCCATTAAAAAGTTGGGTAGACTCCAAATAATAGTGTGGTGATGTACAGTTTCCCAAGAGTGGAATAGTCTGTTGTGCCCCTATTAAAATAGAAGAACCTGATTTCAGTGCCAAATTTGACCCAAACCGGAATATATGGGTCGCATCATGGAAGTGGTCTGATGGTTGATCACCGGAGAGTTTGCGAAATCGGATGCCCGAGTACCCAATACCAAAGGGAGTCAAGGAGGAATACGACCATGAGCTGCAGATCTGGCTGGATAACGGTTGGTTGCAGCCTTATCCTGAAAAGGAACTTGGTCCTCCAAAAGGTTTAATTCCGTTGATGGCAGTGGTGCAGAAAAACAAAAATAAAGTGCAGCCAGTATTAGACTATCGAGAGCTGAATGAGTGTCTCAACACACACGCAGCCAATGCTGACATGTGCGTACAGAAACTGAGGGAGTGGCGTAAAAAAGGATCAGATGTCGCTATCCTTGACCTATGGCAGGCCTATCTACAGGTACATATCCATAAGTCATTTTGGCCCTGTAATCTTCAAGGGGCGAAGATATTGCTTGACATGAATGGGTTTCGGGTTGAATGTTGCACCAGCCATAATGAAGGCCATTGTGGACGTTGTCGAAAGACGAGTCAGTTTGACGGGCAACCTCATCATATATTGATGATATTTATGTTGACGAGAGCATGATTTCAGCAACTCACGTGAAGGAGCACTTGGATGTGTTTGGTTTGATCTGCAAGGATCCAGAGCAGTTACGGGACACCACATGTGTGCTGGGTTTGCATGTCGAGCAAGATAACAACATGCTTAAGTGGAAACGTGAAAATGGCATTCCATCAGTTCCTGAAGTCCTGACACAATGTAACGTCTTCTCGTGGCGTGGAAAACTAGTGGGTCACTTTGTGTTGCTGCATCATTTGTTAAACACAGGACAGTATCAATCATGTCTGGCTGGGATGACGAAGTGACAGATGCTCCTATTAAGAACATGATTGAGGACATAGTGGAAAGAATATGCCAGAATGACCCTGCTCACACACTTATAAGGTATGGGTTGATGCAAGTTCTCTTGCCACAGGGGTTTCATTGGAAGTTGATGGAAGCATAGTAGAAGACGCATGTTGACTTCGGCCTGCAAAGGACGCCCAACATATCAATTTATCAGAAATGGATGCTATTCTGAAGGGCGTCAATTTAGCATTAGAGTGGGGTGCAACAAAGCTACACCTCTTCACGGACTTCGCATGTGTGCACTGGTGGGCGTCAAACATGCTCACTGGCAAAGCCAAAATACGGACTAAGGTGGCAAGTGAGATGCTGATCTGGAGGCGGTTGAGTACTCTTGAAAAGCTGATTCAAGAGTATAACTTATTGATCACGATAAGCTTAGTAACGTCGAGTGAGAACCGAGTGGATAAGCTCACCAGAGTACTGCAACGATGGTATGATGTAATCAAGAAGGAAATTGAGCCAACACGCCCAATATGCGCTTCCATGGTGAACGAAACCTCTTCTGATGCCATACATTGCCAGAGTGGACATCAATTGACCCAGCCTCAAGTCATTGGCCACGTGGCAACCTAAGTGTGACTGGAATCTGGACCCGCCTAGGAATGGATTATGGTGGACAACACTACCTTACGTTAATTGATTGCGGCCCCAGTCGATTTGCAATATGGTGACGCCTGCTTCAACAAGACTCAAGAAGCGTCATCCGACAGTTGGAAAATATATTTTTTTTTTTTTTTTTGAACGAGGCCCACCAACAGAAATCCTAACCGACAATGACACTGTATTTCGCAGTAAGTCCTTTTTCGTTTTCGCTGTGCCTATGTTCCTACAGGAAACTATATGGTGGGAAGATCTCATCGGAGCATAAAGAGAATTGCAGCAAGAAAGCAGTGTTCGATAATGGAGGCAGTATACTGGCATAATATCACGCCGAAAGATGATATATCGTTGACTAATGTGCCTGCCAATATGATTCACTGTTACCAACTGAAAGTGAAGGGAATTACTACAGCATTACCACCTGATTGTTGTAGGTATCACAATATATACAAACTTGGGAACAGAGTATGGGTGAAAGCTCCCCATGGACGGTGTACCTCCGCAAACAATAGTAGTTGACAGGATGCCATGGCATGTAAAAGATCTTCACCTTTTCGTTGATTTTGATTCATCACTGAGCAACTCCGATGATGGTTCATCATATGACAGTGATCAGATAATTGAGATCAGCGAATCTGATGCTTCCACGGACGCAGGGATTCCGGAAACTCTAGATACATCTGATGACTCCTCAGGAGACAACTCTCTGACACGTGTATGGAAGATAGTTCCATTACGATGAAGTACTAGGATAAAGAGAGCTGCTTCAAGCTGTTCGATTTGTGATCAGGGGGGAATATAGCAAAGAAAACTGCATCTTACCTCATCAAACCAAGTGACAGTGCATCCTGTGTATCTTACGACGGAAAATGTGGTGAAAAAGAAAATTACTTATCAAAAAGAAGGGCATGTATTCCGCATGACATGCTGATGATGAAATATTTAAATTAAAAACAAGTCCATCGCAGGAGTCACTATACAAGTATTTTGATATACAAAATTGGGTGTCCACTCCCAGCCATTGACAAATGGAAA